ACAAATTGTTCTGGAGAACGTTCTTTCAGTGAAATGAAGTTTATTAAAAACAGACTTCGTACTGCAATGTGTCATGACAGGCTCAGCCACCTGGCTTTGATGAGTATCGAATATGACATCCTCAGAGAGATTGACTTCGAAAAGTTGATCAAAAACTTTGCAGTGGCCAGGTCACATAAAGTGCCTGGTCCGTAAATAAAGGTAATGTTTATTTTCTATTTTGCAATTGATCAATGTTTGTGTTCAATATATCCATTATCCATGGTCGATGGCAATTATTTTTATTAAAATTCTTGTTTTTTCCAACATGTTCATACTTTTGTTTAATTTTACCAAATTCATTAAATTGTTTATTTGTTTTACTATTGGATGCAAAACTTCAATTTTATTTATAGTTGAGTTAATACTTATTCTGAATCTATCTGACCTTGGACTTAAAGAAGCCTATACATGCATTCTTGGACAGAACCATTATTTGAGTAGAGGTTTATCTGATTAATAATGCAAAGAATAATCTCTCCGTAATAACTAATAATGCAGTATATTCTTTTCTGTGAAGTCTCTTGAAAATTTGTGACATGTGCGATAGTAGCTATATCAGGGCTGGTCGACTTGAAACCACATGAATGACTCCAGTCATGTCTCACTTTTGTGTGTGTGTGTTGGGAATTTGTACACCATCAATAAATATACAGTTAATTAAAAATTTCTCAATCTTCTAATTTCCTCAATATAACTGCATATGGCTTCAAAATTCTAAAAAGTGTTCAAATTTCAAAATATTCCCGGGGGGCTTACAGCGCCCCCAGGAACTCCCAGACGTTTAGGCTCGCTTCACTCGCCACCCCACCCTCTTGGGTAGTTATAATGAGGGGGGGCCTCCACAAAGAGGCTGCCCATGGGCCTCCATAGGTCTAAATCCGGCACTGCACATACAGTTGTTGCTGGTTTAGATGTTTTTATATACATTACTGTACTGTACTTTATGATAGTTTTACAGTAAACATGATTTTTGCTTCTTTTTTTAATATTGTAGTGTGTCTAAAAACTTAGCAGTGACTAGCGTGAACACAGAAGGTTGTGAGTTACAGGCTAAGATGACTGTAGACAGTGGCAGCCTGGTCACCTGTGTGTATACCAGTCACGAAAAGTTCTCAAACACACTAAGGGTCATATAATATGACCAAACGAACAAGAAATCTGAACATTGCTCTCTGAGGAAGTTCTATTGCAAATCAAATTACTGTAGTAGTTCTTTTCAGCAGTAAATACTATAAAGTTGTGCAACATATATTATTACAAAATATTGAAAGTCACTTTGCAACCACACGTCCCAACCATTCTGAGATGACATGAATGATAGTGCTCATTCTGAAATCTGTAGTTCCCAGCTGTTCAAGAATTTTTTGTGGCGATTGTACAGTACTGTATGTAATGTATGCAAATCAATTTTAACCCCTACGCCCCAGGCGTAGGGGTACCTCCCCCCCAACGTGAGGTAAATTGAGAAAAAATCAACTTTTCCAAAAATAATCTTTAACCTTTTTAAATGATGAAACAACCAAAATGAAGTAAGAAAAACTATATATTGACCCTCTAGAAACTTCCCTGGGACAGCAGTGGCGAGGGAGATAAGGGGACAGTGTTGTTTTGACGGCTAGCACTTGTGGTTACGTACGCACTTAGCGGCCATTTTCTGCTTGCTTTTGTGTCCAGGATAGCCAGTAATGCATATATTTACCGATCATAATACTTATTTCCTATAAATACAGGTAATTCAGTTAGAATTTATTTTATTTGCACTTTTTTTCATAAAAAGTACACGCTAACATCAGCAGTGTCACCAGGCTGTCTGGTTGTCTTTGCGTTTGGTAAAGCAAGTAATGCATATAAATAATTACCGGAATAATAATTCAATAAATAAATAGTGTACATTTATACCAATCGTTGCATTATTTTCCAGTAACACTGTACTACACTACTTTTTTGGGGAGGGGGGGAATAACCCACCCGGGCACAGGTCATCAACCCACAACGGGGCCTAGGAGGTGAAAAAATAAGAATAAAAAGAAATTAAAAATAGAAAAGGAAAACGTAATACAGGTTGACAATCCCTTATCCGAAATCCTTGGGGCCAGGGGCATTTCGGATTTCAGAATTTTTCGGTTTTCAGAATGGCTAGTTGTTTTTTTTTATGTGTATTAGCTTACCCAGGCATAGATCACTGACCCACATCAGGGCCTGATGGGCAAAAATATAATAAAAATTATAATAATAATAATAATTCATTGGTCTAGGTCGTATTTCTCACTTTTGATCTTTTTTTCATTCTTGTATTTCTTTATTATTATTAGTTTTATTATTATTTTATTATTACAGCATTATTGTTATTGTTATTATTATTATTGTTATCATTAATATTTTATTTTGGTGTATTTTTATTAAAAATTTTATTTACTATGAATATTTATTATTATTATTATTATTATTATTATTATTATTATTATTATTATTATTATTATTATAATTATTATTACTATTACATTTTCGCCCCCCAGGCCCTGATGTGGGTCAGTGATCTATGCCCGGGTAGGTTAATCCGTTAAAAAAAAAACTTCCGGTTTTCAGAGCTTTTCGGTTTTCGGAATTTCTGATAAAGGGTTGTCAACCTGTAGTAATCTACACTGCGAAGATGCCGGAAAACCAGCTTTTTAAAGTGAGACTGATTGTATGAATGTGGAAACACAGAAGAACGCAGAGCATTCCACAGTTTGGCTGTGTGAGGAAAGAAGGAGGTACTATAACGGGTTATTCTAGTGTGACCTACATCCACAGAGAAAATGTGGGTACCGTGGGCAAGACATGTCTTATGAGCCCACGGTCTTGCCGGTGGTACACAGGATGCCAAATACACCGAACTGTGCCCGTTAAAGTACCTGTAAAAGAGAGAGAGTGAAGCAACATTGCAGCGAAGAGAAAGGGAAGAAAGATTGTCAACTAAAGGAGGAGAATTAATAAAATGAAATGTCTTTGATTCCACCTTATCTAACAGTTGGACAGAAGAGCCACCCCAGATATGAGAGCAGTATTCAATGTTAGGACGAATGAATCCCTTATATACATGAAGCAACTGCTCAAGAGTGAAGTAGCTACGGCATCTGTACAGCATTCCCAACTTTCAGGAGGCAGCTTCAGCTATATTAAGGATGTGTGATTTCCAGGACATATGGGAGGAAATGGTGAGGCCTAACATATTTATTTCAGAATTTGGCAGGATGATAGCGTCTTGAAATGTAATTCGTGGGAGATCGTCTAATTTACAAAGTGTAATTGGTAAATATTGAGTTTTGTTACTATTGAACTTAACCAATTTTGTACCTCCCCATTCAGAGATGCTGCACAGATTGGCATTGATAGAAGTAATGATATCAGCGCTAGAAACAGATCTAGTTTGAGAGTTAGGAGGAAGGGGAAAATGTGAAGAGTAGTGAAGAGTAGAATCATCAGCTTAAGAATGGATAGAATTAGTTGTAGTATGAAGTAAATCATTGATAAAAAAAAGGAAGAGAGTAGGTGAAAGAACAGAACCCTGTGGGACACCACTATTGGTAGAGAAAGAGTGAGAGGTTGAAGGACGACTCTCCATGGTAACAGGCTAATGCGTGCTAACTGCACTGAGCCCACCCACGCTACCCTGCGTGTGGCATGACCGCCAAATAGTCATGCTGGAACCTGATAACCAGCGCTGGGCATTCAAACAATGGCACGAAAAGGCGCACGTTACGAAACATCAACAGGGGCGCCCTAGATGAATGTTCCGGAACGTCAACCAGGGTGTAGGGGTTAATAAAAACAGGTGAACCCCGATAACCGACGTCCCGTTGACCGCCGATTACATATAGGAGAAATACCCCACAAGTTCCGTTGATACTCAGTAGATCCGACAATCGGCAGAGCTGGCATGGTGAGAATTCTTGCCACCAGAGGGCTCTGCATGCTGCTTCTGACTCATTTTTGCCATCTTTGTTCTTGTTTACACTTAAAAATGTGTTTCTGACTACTTGTATGTTTTTTTCATTATTTCTGACTTAGTGTGTTGTGCAATCATGCCTAAACACCCCAGTGATAGTTCTTCTTAGGGGCAGCTTGATGTGATGAGATAAGGCATAATAAGAGTGGTGTTAGACCACCAAAGATTGGTAGAGACAAACTTACTACCCTAGACCGTCTCTACCATCCTCAACTCAGATACATGATAGTCTCAATTTAAGCTTTACATTGCTTATTGAAGGTTTAATATGCTTGCTTTATGTCTGCTTTATTTTCTTGCTTGACAGTGTGTAATACAGAGATATATGAAGGGTAGATGGGAGCTTTTGGAGGGTGGCCGGTCCCTAACCCCTGAATTTCTTATGGATTAATTGCTTCGATAACCATTGATTCGCTAACCAAAGACTTTTCCCGGTCCCTATATGCATCAGTTATCAGGATATGCCTGTACACAATTATATCCAATACATATTTGTACACAGAAGTCTACACATTGATTTTTCTAGACTGAACACTCTAGCTAACCTTCCTCCCAACAAGTGTACAGTATAATGCTGATGGTGAGGTTTCAGCTAAACTCCAAGCATTGAAAAACATATGGCTATTTATTTTTTTAATATTTAATGGACATGTTTATGATTAGCCTAATCCATATTTTGATTATACAGTACTGTACATCGTACTGTACAGTACTTGTGCTTACAACAGCAATTTAGGTTTTGTTTGGACATGGAATGGCAGCAGATAGCTACATAGCCTCAAGTATCCAAGATTAACTAACAGTATATACACGGGACATCTAACCAACAACCTCCAGAGTTAATAGAATCAGTACTAATACTGTACACAAAAAATGAATTAGATAATTGAACTTTCTTGAAATCCAAGTTCAGTAATTTACTGCAATCAAAAATATCCTCAAATACCAATTTATTAAAAATAAAGCTCACCTTGTTCCTCCTTACGTGCCTGCTGCCTTCCCTGGTGTTCCTTCACCATAGATGACAACATCACTCCAACTTCAAATCTTGCACGAGCTAAGGGATAAAGGCAGTAAATTAAAAGTCACCATCAACATAAAAAACAAAACAAAGGTAAGATGTTTAGAAAATGAGCCCCAGTTTATTTCCTGTGCTTTATTTTTATTATTTTTTTAAAATCTTCACTGCTACCTTTTTTCCTTAATCCCACACTAGGCTTTAATGTTATGCACTAGCCTAGTCCAATGCTGTATTGAACTTTCAATGCATGGGGATTCCCATTTCTTTATTTTTTTTTAATTGGGACAGCACCTCGTCCCAAAGTGGGTCATATAAACTCCTATTAACAAGTGGTGACGAGGTTGTATCTTATTGTCAAAGGAGAGACATTTTTATGAGTAGGTTAAATACAGTATTCTTATAGAAAACTTTAAACATCAAATATTCAATTGGATTCCAACATGGCAGCCAGTTCTGTACACTGGAGTTCCAATGAAGTTACAGTACTGTATTGCCCTTCTACTAAAACTAATGTCAAAGTATACATTGAAGCTTTCTGCTGAAGATGTAGAGGACTTCAGGAAATATGTTGACTTCTATAAACAGAGCAGTCCCGAGGGGGGCAAGCCAGGGCGGCCACCCTGGGCCTTGTGCTCTCCTGGTTAGTAATTATACAGTTCAAATGAAACACACAAACTAGTAACAGAAGTCTGTGCTGATTGGAAGCATTTTAGTGAAAGTATAAAATCTCCAGAGTCATCAAATGAAGTGAAAAGACAGTTGTGTTCAATGAATGCCATAGATACAGTACAAGCATGTTACAAGACTTGAAAAAAGAAAAGGAACATTGGTGATCAGTTGTAATACATATTATAGCAGCTGTGCAGTACTAGCTGAGCACAACTCTGCTTTGGACAAGTCATTGGGTGTTGGAAATTTTCATAATATTGAGGAAGCCGAGTTGTTTTCTGAGCTTCGAGTACTCCAAGAACTCATTCCCATAGAAACAAAAAATACACTTCAAGTCTTTCAGTTTCTAAAATTTATAAATGGTTCTTTCCCTAATGCAGAAATAGTGTACAGGCATAGGATTTTGTTGACAGTCACAGTGATATCACAGGAGCAAAGTTCTTCCAAACTCAAATTGATATAGAGCGATCTAAGGACAACTATATCTCATGAGAGGCTGAGTGAACTGGCTATGCTCTCCATCAAAAACGAACTGGCAACAAGTGTGTGCAATAATGAACTCAGAGAAGAATTTGCTGGAAAGAAAGCAAGGAAGGTTAATTTTTGAAAGTAGGCTGTTTCTGCTACTTTGCAAATGCTTTATGAGAAGTAAGAGGATATTAGTATAGCGGATTAAATTAGTTTTTAACTTATTAAGTATGTTATTATGAAATCCTTTATTACATCCAGACTGCCTTGGCAATTTGTCTTGTTTATGTTACAACTCAATTTAAAATGATGTTTTATTTTCAATGTACAGTACAGTGGTCCCTCGGTTAACGAACACAATTCATTCCACAGAGTCGTTAATTAATGGAAAATTTTGTTAACAGAATCCATTGTTTCAATGGGATTTTGGGTAATTGGTTTTTGCTCACAGAAAAGTACATACAAAGTAAAAAAAAAATGCAGTAAAGTACACTTACTTTGAGGTGTGTATGTAGAAGGTTCCTGGTTGATGATGATGATGGGAATTAGAAGTGGTGGTGGAGGAGAAGGGAGAAGAGAAGGAAGTGGGGATGGAGGAGAAATCACCTTTCAGGGGGACCCATGCTTGATGCAGTAATTTCACCAATAAAATTTTAAGTTCACTAGGTGTAATTCAAGATTATTTTATTTAAATCAACACTGCACTGTGCTACATAATATCAATATGTTAACTAAATTTCAGAATGACCAATAATTTTAATGTAAAAATGCAAAAATATTCAAGACACCAACAAAATCGATGTTCACTCCACTGTAAACAAAGCCAAACTGACGCCTGGTGGATGAGTCAAGCGGCTGATGGGCGCACAAAAAACTAGTTCCCTGTACTGCATATATGATCAATATGTTAACTAAATTTTAAAATTACTAATAATTTTAATATAAAAAATACAAAAATATTAAAGAGCACAACTTTCTTGATATTTACTCCACTGGAAACGAATGTAAACATAGAACAGATTACTGAATTGGCAAACTAGCCCATCAGCTGATCAGCTGATGCTCACAACAAAACGTGTTTGTCGTAAGGATTTCGTTAATTGAAGTTTTGTTTGTTAACCGAATTGAAGATCCAGATGGGAGGTAATTCGTTAACCGAAAATTCGTTAATCGAACCGTTCGTTAACCGAGGGGCCACTATATACGTCTTTCTTGTGTACTTGCAAATCTCATTTTATGTAATTTCATAAATTTTTGATCAGTTATCACATACAGTCTAGGGATTATAGATTTCTTTAATTTTTCCATATTTTGGATTACAATAGGATACTGTAAAATTACTACACCTGTACCCATTACTGTACAGTACAGGTACTCCTCGACTTACGACCACCCAGACATACGACCGACCCAGTCGTACCAAAATTTTTCCAAATTACGTATTTTCGAGTCCCGACATTAGTGATTGCACTGTGTACTGACTAAATTTTCGTTTGTAATTCTCTTTAAAATGGCTGGCAAGCTTAAAAGTGAGAGTTTTGTGGTGCTGAGAAGAAAAAGAGACACCCACGGGTTGTCGTAAGTCGAGTATTTTTTTTTTTTATTATAATTTTTTTTTTAAGGGAAATAGCCCACCCGGGCACAGGTCAATGACCCACATCAGGGCCTGAGAGGTGAAGATATCTAATAATAATAATAATAATAATAATAATAATAATAATAATAATAATAATAATAATAATAATAATAATAATAATAATAATAATAATAATAATAATAATAACAACAACAACAACAAAAACAACAACAACAATAATAATATAATAATACAGAACCATAAACAAATGCAAAAATAAAAGAAAAAAGATCAGGAGTGAGAAACGATAGATATGAATTGTGTTGTCAAAGTAAGAGAAACAATTGAGACACTGCAATTGTGTGTAAATGAGGCACAAAGTCATATCAGTAACCTGGGACTTGGTCACAATTTTCGTGATGCCATATGGCAGCAGGGTCTACCATTAGACAACACATTACAGTAATACCTCGATTTACGCAGTCAATTGAACCCGCGGAGTAGCACGTAAAACAAGAAACGCGTAAATGGAATAACAGAACATATGGGATTAATTGAAATAGAGACTCGGCCGACCCCCAAACTCCACTTTTTCAGACACAATACCTACGTTGTAGTAAAAATAACATCTTAATTTTATGATGGTATTCACACACAATTAATAATTCAGAGAAATATCAATAATATTAGGTTTTTGAACACTTACATTAGTAGAAAAGATGGCTGGGCACACGGGGATGGGGGGTTGGTTCCGAGGCAGAGGGCAGATTATTGGCCCCCACCTGTATCATTTGTATCAATTGTATCACTATCCACCACAGAGGCTTGCAGGGCCTCCTTGTCAAACTCCTCAAAGTCCATATAAGTCCATATCCTCACTATCACTGTCTTGGACCGGCTGTGGTGGGTGGCGGGTGAAGAACTCGGTAATGTTTTGATGACTGGGCGACCTTGTGCGCACCCTGCCAGCGCCGCTTCCCACGTAAATGACGAAATTAGCCGCGTAAATGACCAAACGCGTAAATAAAACCCGCATAAAGCGAGACCTAATTATATATATATATATATATATATATATATATATATATATATATATATATATATATATATATATACACACAATATATTGATAAAATCACATATAGGAAACAACGAACTAGCTTTCGTTTTCATTGTGGATATATATATATATATATATATATATATATATATATATATATATATATATATATATATATATATATATATATATATATATATATATATATATATACATACACACACACACACAAGTGATATCCCCATTAGCCGGAACAATTGGTGCAGAACACTTCCGGGATGAGAGATTTCTGGGTAACCAGACGACTTTCTCAAACTCGGAAAAATTCCTCATCCCCGGAACCTTTTCCGGTTACTGGGAAAAAGTTTCCAAGTGTCTACTGGACCTCTAGCACAGACGGACACTAGCCCACTTCCCTATAACGTTTCTGGGTGCTGGAGATGTTTCCTTGACTCTAAACTACAGGAATCCATAAACACAGTTCAAATTAGGTTAGAAACTTCATAGTTATCTAAAAGTTTGGTTAAATAAATGCATTTAGAAATAAAAAATCTATAGGATATAGGCATGAATGAAGCAGTGTGATACAGCAAAGACTGTTATTTTCCACTCCCACGGAGCTGTGGGGGATTAGTGGGTCTTGTTGTAACTGACCAGACCTGATGCAATGTCAGGTGGAGGTAGGATGGGGGATTAGTGGTCTCATATTACTGACCTGTAGGAATGTCAGGTCACCCTTTCTTGGGTGGAGGATTAGTGGGTCTGATGACCAGAAGATGTTTTGAATAAACACGAAATCTAAAGTATTTTTAGAGAGACTGCGATAAGTACAGATGAAAGTACAGTTATATTTCCGTTAGCCAGAATCCCTCAAACCCGGAACTCTCCAACAGCCGGAATTGAAATTTTCGTGGAAAATCGTTCCCAAAGCCGATACCCGGAAAATTCCGGGGATGGGGGAGTTTTTTTCCTGGTTTGAGAGATTAAAATCAGGCGCATTTTCTGGAAATTCCAAGAAAAATTTTGCGTTACCTCGAAAATTCCGGGGATGAGGGATATTTTTCCGGGTTCGAGAGATGATGTAATGTGCATTTTCTGGAAATTCAGATTACATTTTTCCGTTACCAGGAAAATTCGGGGATGAGGCGATGTGGGGTGACGGGGGTGTGTGGGTCATGTAGAGGTGTGTGGGTGGTTTTTGGAGGGATAGTGTGTGTGTGTGTGTGTGTGTGTGTGTGTGTGTGTGTGGACGGAAGCGAACCT